CGTCTTCATTGAACTCTACACTGATGGTTACATGAAAATAACTCTCCTTTACATGTAGGTATACTGACCATTTCGTCATTCCAGTTTGTCATAATTGAGGAGCTAATGTGTTTCAATCTCCGACGTCGATGTGACACTACTAATTTTAGACGAAGTTCCGCTATAACCATATGGTGATCAGACCTAATGGTGGCTCTACGCCTTACATGTGTCTGGAGTAGCGAGCTGCGCCATTTGCGGTTGATAAGGACATGGTTCAGCAAGGTGTTTAGACTTCCGTCAGGAAACTTCCAGGTGGTTTGGTAAAAAATACTTATAAGAAAAAACATCCCACTGACGAGGTAGCTGTTTTTGCGCAAAAGCTTGACATCCTCCTGCTGTTGTTTTTCGCGGAGCCAATTTTTTGACTGCTGATCATGCCTGGTCATATGCTGCAGTTGGCGCTAGCCTGTACCCGAAGGTAGCCTGTAGCAATTGTCAGATCCTAAGTATGTTCCCTGATGCAGATCAGCTATCTGAAGCCAAATATTCTTTACTTTCGATAAATGCCTCAGCGTTCTCTGCATGTCGAGACTATCCGAAACATTTAAATGTCTTCGGGTAGCATTCATGAATGACGCAGGACAAATAAACAGATTAATCAAGCCAGCACAACAGTGCGGGGACCACACCTCTCAGTGATGTGCTAAATAAGCTAGGTAATAATGCGAAGATACCTGTGTTTATATTCGCCTATATGTCTATCCTCACTTTTGTTGGTAAGAGTTGGGCATTGATTGAAAAAAATGTTAGCGCAGGTATAAGAGCGAGAAGTGCGGCTCTTTCGTTGCTGTGAAAGCTCAACAAATTTCGAGATATCCTCATCTGCGAACTGTTCTTTCTCAAAATCCAACAGCGATAATTTGGATGCACTCTCACGATGCCAAAGGGAAGATTCGCAAGATGGAATTGGCCAAGAGGCAAGCAGGAGCTTGCAGACTCGAATATTATCAGTACCTGCACTGTCATCCCTGTTTATTCGGTCAGTGTGGTTAGTTCGAATTGGATGACCACCAGAACGATTCGAAGAAGAGCTTCCTTAAGTTGCTTCTCGACACCACGAATAACGAAATCTTGAAACTGCATAGATAAACCAGAACTTGATAAATTAACCTTTTTATTCAGCGTGCTCATCAACTGTCTCATTTAGGGCAAATGCTACCCTCTCTTTAGTGAAAAGTTGTCTTCACATAATTTAATTTTTAATCACTTTCGTTTTTAGGAAAAACAAGCACAGACTAAGAAAAAAGTTGTCATTTCAAAGAAAGAGCTCATGCAAATTCAGAGGAAGCTACAAGCTGCGTTCCAGAAAAATGCAAAGTTCCTGCGCTTGCCGTTTCTAAAGGCTACTGATTTGGATATCAGCGACAACTGGTCGAACTGCTGTGATGAAGAATCTTCTGATAACGGAACTGACCTGCTGAATATTCCCATGGAGTGCCAAGAATTTCTGACTGATGAGATTTTAGATGACATACTAAAGAATGAATCGTTTAAAGTATCGTCTGATGAACAACAGGACCATGATAATTGCTCATCATTTTCCTCAAGTATTCTCAAACAAGGACCAATGCTGGAAATGCTTGGAATAGGTGCATCCAATTTTTTAATCTTTTGATTTTGTTTTTTTTCACTGAAATGCGTAAATTAGCTATATTTAGTTTATTCTTTAATTTTAATGTTTAAATTCTTCCGACGGTGACGTATAGCGTATATCCATGTTTCTTCCATTCATTGTCCCATTTTCCAGATGATTGTCAAAATTGAAACAGCATGAAGGTTCATTTATGAACAACGCAAACAGTTGTTCAGTTGAAGAAATGATCATTACCGACATTTCAGCCTACATTTCACGGTGTATAGATAGTTGGATTGCCTTCGAAATTTTTTTTTATCGTTCAAAGCTGTTCGTAAGTTTAAGCCAGAAGGCGACAGATAAAAGAAGTTCTGAAATCAACTCAACTCTACCTTGAAGAAGACCCGTTAGACATGGGCCTAAACGTTGCTTACCGACGATCATCCGCGTTGCACACTGCTTAAAGTATATATTTCATTTTTAAGGCATGTTCTCTACTAGGGGTCTGCTAATCGAGTCAACCTCCTCCACACTTTTTTGTCATTGGTTAAATCTTCAGTGACTTCTCCCAGTTATATCGTTCTTTCATAACTTATGACATTGCGCCACCATTTCTTCGGTCTTCCCACTTCTTTTCTTTCTCGGATGTATCAGTGTTTGGACCACATTTCCAACGTACTCTACGGGTCTTCTTTTCAAGTGACCGATTCAGCGGAGCCTACTTTCAATTATTTTTTCAGAAATTCCCGCTACCCCGAAAGTGCCTCTTATGGACTTGTTTTGAATGTGGTCTTTCTGCTAGCACCATACATCCACCTGAGCATTCGCCTTTCTGTCGAGTTCAGCTGTTGTTCATGTCTCCAGTGTAGCCAAACCTTCCGCTCCGTACAGAAGCGCCGGTCTTACTATCGTTATGTACACATTCCCTTTCAGTCTGATGGACAGCTCAGTCATCACTGTCGCACAGTACTCCGCCCACTTCTCTTCATTTGAGCCAAGCTTTTTTGACCGATTTCATATCTGCCTGTCGATTTCCGCATTATCTTGAAGGATGCAACTAAGGTAGTTGAATTCTCGGTTTTGAGGCAGCAAGCTCCCCACTACTTTCACTGGTTTGACGGATTTCAACTTGTTTTCCTACTGAAATATCCCGCCATATATTCTTACTTGCCTTTGCTGAGTCCAAGGCCGTTTTTCTCAAGAGCTGTTCTCCATGCCTCGGTTTTTGATTCTACCGCTCCTCTGCTTTCGCTGCATACCATAACCTTTTCTGCACAGAGCATGCAGTATGGGGCTGCTTCCGCAGATCCTCAGTTATCACGTCTGTCGCCATCAAGAACAGACGTGAGCTCAGTGTGGATGTTTGGTGGCTCCTAGCCGGATAGAAAACTATTCCGTTCCGCCCTATGTACTTCGAACTGTCGTTGTCACACTCGTACATGTCTTTGGTAAACCTGACATTTTTCTGGCACCAGCTTCTTCCTCATGCTCCACCGGATTGCTTGTCTCTTGATTCCGTCAAGGGCTTCTTCCAGGTCTAGGGACACTATGTGAATATCTTGTCTGCCTTTTCTGCATTATTCGAGGACTGATCTTAAATCGAAGATGGCATCCGTTTTTGATCTGCCTGGCATAACGCCAAATTAATATGCGGTGATGTAAACCTCCTTCCTCAGCCTTTTGTCCAGCACCCTCCTATAGTTTCATAGTGTGACTAAGCAGTTTAATTGCTCGGTAGTTTTTACATGTTAGCACTTCCCCTTTCATTTTGTACACTGGAATCAAAATACTTTGCCTCCATGATTCTTGGATTTTCTCACATTCCATAATTTTGTTGAACACGCGAGCGCAGAGCCAAACCGCGCCTATTGCTCCAGTGCTTCTG